GTGAGTTTGTTTATTATTGAAAAGCTGAAGCCAGCCAATTGTGTTTGCACTACAAACCAAATTGCTTTTTTTTATTTTTATTTGTGATGTAGACTATTTAAGCGAGCTTGTTGCGTCACTTTAACCGTACAGTATGCATGAGGGTGAAATTGGTAAAGTCTAGGGCTAGAGCTCTCGTCTGTTGACCTGTAAAACCAGTGCAGCTTAGAGGATCCTTGTGAATATATCTCGGCTTAGTTTCACGTTTAAGTTTTCACGTCCATCTCCTTATACAGCAGGTTTTTTTTTCACACTTTCAGCAGTAAAATTAAACAAAAAAAAAACAACAAAAAAAATCAAATAACATTTTCCACGAATACAGCTTTTACTTTCACATGCCACAGTTAGAGTTACAGAACAGAAATATTCTCATTTTTCAAAATCCATGGGAATACATGAGTATACGAGGTCGCCTCAAGACTATTGGGCAAATTAAGTTTTTTTTTTGTTTGTTTATATTCAGTAATCTTTTTTCAGTGACATCAGAAAAGACTTATGTGCTTTGTGTCTTACAATTGCACCTTAATCATGTCAGTCCATTGGGGGAAAAACAGCAACAAAAGAAAAGAAAGGCTGGCAGTGTAATATCTCTGATTTTAGCACCTTACTACACAGCATGTTTTCACTTTATGCCAGTTTAGCTATTCTTCCATATGTATGATTTTGAATCTAAACCTAATTTTTCACAGTTATAAATTTTTTGAAGGGATGTGCCAAAGTTTAGAGGCGATCTCTCGAGTTGTTATGCTTGTCATTTTCTTTTCATCCTTTATCAGTTTAAGCAACAGTATGTCAAAAACTTTCCTATAACAGTGTGTGGAATCAATTTATCTCAGCAAACAGTATCATTACTTGCCATTTTACAATAAGCCCTGTATTTCACATATATTTACCAGTGATGTGTATTTGTTATTATAAAGAAAATAGCCGTAAAAGCTTCATTATGTTACATAATATTGTGACTTTTTTCGAAAAACTGTGAAGACTTATCTTGCATATACTTTATAAAGAAGTATTAAGCCTTAATACAAAAGACTAAAAAAAGTGTGGAAGAATAAACTGATTGTTGCTAAGTAAGGATGATTTTTGTAAATGTTACCAGCACTTTTTTTGTAATTTTCACTCTCTGAGGTATTGTACAAGTTCAAGCTGTTTGTGAAGTTTGATTATGAAGGAATAAAAACTAGTACTTTCCTGTACTTCACAGAAAGTCTTGTTGTTGTTTTTTATACACTTCACTTTGTTGTGCTTCACTCCCCATGACTAAACACTCATAAATTAAATTAGACTCGTACGTCGTCTCGCAAAAGCGTTCAGGCTTTTTCACCTTTTCTCACATTGCACTTACAAATTTAGATGTGTTTCATTGAGATTTAATGTGATAGATTGAAACACAACAGCACATATTTGCAACATGATTTTTTTGTTTTTTCACAAATGGAAATTAAAAAATGTGTTATGCTTTTATTTTCGGCCACCAGTATAAAACATACCGTAACCATCTTCCCTCAGTAGTTATTTAATTAGTAAATTAAAGTCAATTTTACAGATAGATGGGCTAGCTTGCAATACAATATCCGAAACAGTACGGCACAACTGCAGACCCACCAGGACACGGCCTGCCATGCAAACTTGACAGGCTGGGCAAGAGGAGCATTTATCTGAAGCAGAAAACAGATACATGGTAAGTCGGGAGGAGCCACAAAGATCCAGATTTAAGGTAGGACAATCTTTTAATAAGACAATTATTACTCACACACTCAACCAATCAAGCTCTCATGAAAGAAAGCATTTATTGGAACAAATATTAAAAGAAACCGGTTTGCAGTTTGTCACATGCCATGTGGAGGAGCAGCAAATATGTAGAAGAAGGTCTTTTTATCATAAAATCTAACATGCAAAATATATGTAGAGCAGATCTACACTTAACATCACTGTGGATATAATGTTCTGAACATGAAACATGGTGGTGACGGCGTCATCCTGCGGGGATGCTTATGTTATGCATTAGAGTGGCCCAGTCAAAGTCCAAATTTTAATTTATGCATGGTTTTGATAATACTGAAAGCTCAGACTTAGATCTAGTTGAGAAACTGGTCAGACTGGGAGCTCATATTTCATGATACACAGGAAGCCTTTTTAATATTTTTTACATTTTCAAATTATGCTCTATTATATGTTATGCAGGCACATAAAATCCTAACAATATTCGTTGAAGATTATAGTTATAGCATGACAAAAATATTAAAAAAGAAGTGTGAATACTTATGCAACACAGTGTAGCTACATGTTGAGAATCGAGAACTTTTTAAACCAAATGTGATATAGAATTTAAATGAACATGCATTTATTCCACAGATTATAGTGGCCTGGTGGAGGTAGGTGTAGATGCCAATTACAGTTAAACTACGAGCTGGAATGGATCCCAGAATGCAGGAAACACCCAGGACGAGCTGCCAGCTAGTTACAATCCTATGACTAATAAACGCTCATTCTTCACTTCACACCTACGTGTACTTCAACCGTGCAGACTCAAGTGTTTGGACTGTGGGAGGAGACTGATGCAGCCGATGGAGAAGCTTTACACAGAAGCAAACCATGGAGTGGGTGTGAGGCTACGCAGCAAGACGCGCAGCTGCTGACAGGCCATGAAGGATTCTCTCAAAAACATTTCCTGCTCTAAAGCAATCAAATTAGTGACACAGTGTGCTGCATTTGTGACCTGAACAAGAGTAATATTAGCCTCTCTCCATTGTCAGACTGAAATCATACAGATGGCCTTCATAAAAGAAGCAAGACAGCCCAGTTAAGCGCTGCCATCTGTGCATGATATTCTGTTTCCTGGTATGTTGATGACAGTCAACAAGCTGAATGTGACCAACACATGATTAACAACCAAAATATGGAATTGTAAACAATAAATCACAATCTATAAAATCACATGGAAAAAAAAAATAAACTGCCTACACACTTTAATGCAGAGTTAACTGAGAGCGTCTGTGTTGTAATATTTAATGTGGTGTTGGATCTCTGCAGCGCAGCATCAGTTCGGACCCTCAGCAGCCTGGGATTCAGCTCTGTGACAGCTGCAGGGCCTTTTCCCCTGATGAACACAGAAAACTGATCGGGTTATAAACAGCGAGCAAGTTGGAGATGCACCACAGGGCTGAACCAATGAGAACTTTATGAACTAATAAAAGATAATTTTGGGAGCAGCTGATGCAACTTTTTAGATTTTGCGCGCAGACGAAGACACATAACAAAGATGTTTTTATGCTCTCAGAGGTGGGATCAGTGCTCTTTTTGGTAAATGTCAAGATTCCTTCTATTTGTTTTTCTTTATTTTAAGTTCTTAACCTTTTCACCTTATTCATGGTGCCACCAACGGGTGTGGTTGGAATGTGGGGCATAATAGTAATATTGTTTTATGCATAGCTTAAGAACAAAAGGACAAGTTTTGATATAAAACAACTTTTTGCTTTCTTTTATAGTCCTTTATGGTACCTATTTTTAAATGTTTGTGATCAAATATTAAAAATTTATTATATAGTCACTTAATATTTCATGGTTTAAAGAAAATCTTGTTCTAATTTGTCAAATAAGTGGATTTTGGGTGAAATTTCTTGAAAACTTGAGTTTTACTGACTACTGCATTGTTTAAAAATTATATTAGGAGCTGCATTTTTTTTATATTTTATTTTATCCGATAGAGATGCAGGTTTATTACAAGCTGACTTTGGAAACAAAATAGTTTCCTAATTATTAAAATATTAGTTTTATATCTCACTTTTTTCTTCCACTTAACTTTCCATTAATATTCTTGGTCAGCTTCATTTGCACGTTTTTAAACTTTGACTATTTGTTGCCTAACTTTGTAGAACGTGTGAATGACTGTCTGCTGAACATCTGATAAACCAGCTCTTCCTTGATTGAGCTGGGCAGAAAATGGCCTAAAAGTTTCTGGAATGAAAATGTTCTGCTACTTTTTTTTTAATTTGACGTTTTGATTTACTAAAATAGTCCACACTTTTAATTACGACGCCTCTGTAAACTTCTTGTGAACAGCATACTTCTTTGAAATTGGACGTGACACAGAAAGGAGCTTTGAGATCAATTTATTTACAACATGAACACGTAAATGATTCCTTTTCCATTCACTTTATTAGCAGCTCTGTCAACAGTTCAACTTTCATCAACCGGTTAGCAAAGTGTGTGTTCACTGGATGTGCGCATCCAGTGAACACACACTTTTCTTAAAAAGAAAACTTAAGACGCTGTTTTCAAGCTTGTCTGAGCTCAAACCGCAGACGTTTTCCTCTTGCTTACCACTGGCGCCACCTGCTGTCAATCAGGCTAAACAACATGCGCTCTCCAAGTCCAACCACTGGAAAATGCTTCTGGCTATATTTTAAAGTAAATTTTCAAATAGGATTCCCGTTTAATGCCTAGAGTTTAAGTGTCATAAAACTCTTTTTTACTCCCCTGTAAAATGATTAAGATTTTACTAGGGGGGAAATTTTTCAGCAAGCTGTCATAGTTACTTTCCATCAATATGCAAACATGATGATCCACTGCTGTAACATTTGGGATTTTTGGCTCATTTAGTCTGAAACATGCAGGTAAATACTGTATTTTGAAAGGTTCTTTTTGAAATGACTTTTCAAATTAGCTAAAAGACAAAAGCCTCTAAATTTGCCATGAGTGAAGCGCTTTAGACTGAAGACATGGTAGCAACAGGAAGCAATCGCCCTAAATCTCCCTGTTCTGAAGAAGTCTTGTGCTCTGCAGGAGGTGCGCCGTGTTCAAAAGGATAACAGGCTTCGGTGTTCTACTCTAGAGGCTCAAGGAGAGATAAGCGCGAGTAAATATAGCAGTTGAGTGTAATCCACTCGCTGCATTTCATTATCCCGTGAGTGTTCATCTCATGCTATGACAGTGGAGGAGACAGTTCACATCAATGGTTAAGGTTGTTCCCCAGGACAGATTTATTCAAGTTGGGACCATACAAACCTAGTGAATGACACAAGGAGGTATTTATAATTTTCTTTTTATATCTGGAATGACATTGGTAAAGAGGGTGTGGAACGTTTTAAAATCAAAGATGCACAACATACAGCCACCTCACAGCTAGTTCGTGAGATGCTAGTTGTTCCCATAAATAAGGCAGAATGCAGTCCATAGAAATGGAAAATTAATACATTTAGCCAAATTGGACAGTGATGTGACAAGAATTAGATGACTTTCTTCAGCTCATCGTACAACACCAGCACGAAGGCGCCGCCCATGCCTCTGAGCACGTTGGACCAGGCCCCCTTGAAGAAAGCTTTGCCACCCTCGTCACGTGCAATCTTGCGCCAGCAGTCGATGGTCCCACTGTACATGATGTCAGCTGTGGGAGAGAAAGCAAACTACATGAAGCCCAAACAACCATTTCTGCATCAGTAGAAATATGCCCACCAGACTGGACACGCTCTTAAAATGACAATTTAAACAGACTCACCTCCTTTACGTCCAGACTGCATCATCATGCGTCTACGGACAGTATCGAAGGGGTATGAGGTCAGGCCAGCAACAGCTGTTACAGTCTGTGCAATCATCCAGCTCACCAATATGTGGGTGTTCTTGGGGTCTGGAAGCATACCTGTAAAGGTACAAGTATAAAAAAAATAAAAATCAAAACCACAACACTGAGACCCTCATCATGTGCACCAATTATTCAGCATGAAGTCAACATACCCTTAGCTGTGTCATAGATGCCAAAGTATGCAGCCCTGTAGATGATAATGCCCTGCACAGACACGTTGAAGCCCTGGTACAAGCCCTTTATGCCATCTGACTTTGAGATCTTTACCAGACAGTCACCCAGACCCTTGAATTCTCTCTCGGCTCCAGCTTTTCCCACGTCAGCCGCCAGACGGGTACGGGCGAAATCGAGAGGGTACACAAAGCAGAGTGAGGTGGCTCCGGCGGCTCCTCCGGAGGCAAGGTTACCAGCAAAGTACCTCCAGAACTGGGTGCGCTTGTCGACACCATCCAAGAAGACCTTCTTGTACTTGTCTTTAAAGGCAAAGTTGAGGGCCTGGGTGGGGAAATATCTTATGACATTGGCAAGGTTTCCTCTCCAGAAGGACAGGAACCCCTGCTCCTTGGGGATACGGACGACGCAGTCCATGATGCCTTTATACTGCATGTCAGCAGTGATCTGTTTGCTGGCATGCTGGACCTGGGATAACGAAAGGAAAATTATTAGACATCAACTCAACAGCAAGACACATGAAAGTCACAAGGTTCTTCCATTGTGACCTTGTGGCAGGTTGAAGTTGAGAAAGTTGCTAATGACTTTCCCCACTGCTCCCTCTAATCACTGTCCTCTGGTAATCACTGATAATGACTGCATTGATTAATCTCGAATTGATTTAGTTGTATATTGAAAATAACTTGTGAATATGTAAAAGTGAAACTGTTCTCAATCTTTAAACTTCCCATTAGTTTGCAGTGCGAATGGGAACGGATGTAAAACTAGTTGACCCGGCTTTAATAACCGCCGCTGGGCCTCTGTACTTTCACCAACCGCTACTTTAGCAACTGCAACGGCTTTTAACAGCAAATAAAAGTGATATAAAACTCGCCCCATATCAATATTACTGTTATAATTGAAATATTATGATTAGAATAAAAATATATGGGTATGGCAGGATTGTACAGAGTGTACCAATGCCGCTACGAGCGTTTGTCCTTTGTTAGCTAAAGCTAACTACCGGCTAAGGTTAAGGCGCAGCGATGCAGTTAGCATCCGGGCTCGTGTAGGTCATTCTCACTTATGTGATGACCTAAGATCTTTTAACACGTAACTCTTCTGAATTTATTGTAGTAAAACATTAACGGCACGTATGGTTATCTCGGTAAGCTTGTGGACGAGCAAAATAACATTTAGCAATACTTCAGGATGTTCTTCGGTAGGGTGACCCAAGCTACATGGCTAACTCTCAGTGAGCCTCCCGGAAGACGCTTTTTTTCTTACCTGAAGGAGAAGCTTCACTCTTTCGATTGGGGCGACGGCTGTTTTGGAAATGGCAGCGGAGATGCCGCCAGCCAAGAAATCCTTAGCAAATGAAATAGCTTGTTCACTCATGTTGCGATGTTCTTGATGTGCCTTTCAGGTAACCAGTATTACACGATGTTTCCCTGCTGCCCTTAACGGCTGATGGCCTGCACCGACGAAATGGCCGATTGTGAAGCCGCGTAGAGGATTTATCGAAACAGATAGCTCGCGATACTGCACGGGAACTCGAACAGTAAACCATTGGCCAAGCCTTCAACGTCATGATGGATTTTACCAATAGAATGTCTGTATTTGAATGACGTAGCCTAGCGTGCTGTACTTTTTTCCCAGGAAAGTAAATTCACGTGAAGTGACTCACTTGATTTGGACACAGAGCAGGAAGAAACTCAGCGTGGATTCTCTTGTTCTTATCTGGTTTCCGGGTCAGTGTCACCCTGAGAGCAAGCTTGTCTGACAGATAAAATCTGCATTCAGTGGAGACCATAGAAACATTCAAACTGTCTATGATTAGCTGCAGGTACTTTTCAACAAATTAGAATAGCAGTTATTGAACAATTAAGTTAATTTAGCAAATTATTCAAAAATGAAAAGTCAAACATGAATTAGATTAACAACTTATAAAGTGACATATCTCAGTTATTGCCGATAATTTTAATGATCTCATATTAAGCTGTAAGAAAAGCTGTAAGAAAACTATATACATAAATTTTGATGTAGGCTATATAGGTTTTCAAAAGGTTTCTGGTAGGTGGCTGTGTTGACTGTACTCAATAAAACATAGTGGCAGCAGTGGTAGGAGTTTGTCCTGTAATCAGTGGGTTGCTGGTTTATTGTGTCCTTGAGCAAGGTGCCTATAATCCGGTCCACTATGGTAGTGGACCAACCCCAGGATTTGACATGGCTGACTGTGTGTGAACAGGTCACCTTCCTCCAGACTCTGGGACCATGACTTTTAAATGATATTGAAAAGAAAACAGTTTAACAGAAATTGAAACTTTGGACTTCCCTTTCTTTGTGACCCAGTTAAGAAGCTTCTGATAGCCAGCAAACATTGTGAGTCTCTGTCTACATCTTGTGAAAATGTCTTTGTGAAGGACATTTTGTCCTTCCACACAACTTTTCATAAAACGTTATAAATATACTTGGATAAACCACTCTGTGACTAGTCATGATCTGATAAGTTTATTAAGGCCCACTAGTACCACTAATCCACTCTTTTAAAAAAAGTGTATAATAATGACATGAGACAGTTGTTTTTGTTCTTTTGAGAATTTAACACAATTTTTAACAAATATAAAAAAACCAGAGAAAGCCTAAAAATATGTAGTTTTTTCTCTTACTAAATAATTGAGTGTTGTACATGTTTATATAAACATTACATTGCATTAATATCATGCAAAATCCAGAATCCTAAGAGCAAAACACAAGCAATTAACAATCACAAACAATATCCCATCTTACAAAGCACACAGTTATAGACATTACTAATGTTTATAGTTTTCTAATTGTTTGTCGGGCCAGGATGTTATAATATTAACATATTTTTCAAAAAGCGTTTCAAAAAAAGTTTATAAAAATGGCTGTTGTTCAAAATATTTGCAATTGTGGACACTAGAATTACCTAATGTAATTATGAATGCCATTTGTTTGACTGTCTTTTCGTTAGTAAGCAACCTTAACATCATCCATCCATCCATCCATCCATCCATCCATCCATCCATCCATCCATCCATCCATCCATCCATCCATCCATCCATCCATCCATCCATCCATCCATCCATCCATCCATCCATCCATCCATCCATCCATCCATCCATCCATCCATCCATCCATCCATCCATCCATCCATCCATCCATCCACAGAGCAAACCTGCTGAATGCAGCACCTTGGGCTGTTGATGGAAACCCCATGAAACACATGTCATCTATGCATTTGTCCACTAGGGGGAAGCAAAAGATAACCTGCTATTAGTGAAGGAAAACGATAAGACATCATGCATTCATGATCCATCCATCCAGGTGGAGGTGCAGACTGGTGTGCATGTCTAGACAGATCACAGTCCATCACATGGCAACTGTGAGACACACAACCTTGCCAGTACACACCCATCTAAGAGGCATTTAGATTAGCCGATTAGTTTAACTGGTTAAACTAAATGTACTTTGTACTGTGCAAGAAAGCCAGAATCCCAGGAGAGAAGACCACATGCAAGCAGTATGAGCCCAACTCATTCAAAGTGGAACACTCTCTCTAAACTACAAAAACTAGCATAGGATTATCACAACTAAAAAGAAATGATTGCAAAAAAACATCTATCAAGATTAATCAGAATTTGTTAGACAGCCATGGACATTTTATTTCACTGTTAGGGTACTCAAATTATTTACTACCACTTCCAAAATTTGGAACTACAGATTCATGATACAGTATTTACCAGCTTGTAGTAACCTCTTAATTGACAGCAGATGTCAAACAAATAACGAACTCTCACATTTGGCATTTAATAGAATTCAAATATCACTCTGTATGGAATAACTCATTTTTAAGTTCGTGAATCCCTTCTTTAGGATCATCAGTGACCAGATTTAACATCTTAAATGTCAAAAAATGCAAAGGAAAATCATTTAAAGAAAACCCAAGGTGAAACCTGTCTCATATTTGGATATGAATTATGCAAATATATGCTTGGAAGAACACTACTGCTTCAGATTTGCACATTTTGGACTACAAGTATTATTCTAACAAAACACCTACTGCTGAACATAAAACTGTAGACAGCATGAGAAAGGACCATGTCACACCAAATATTGCATTTCTTGCTGAGATGGGCAGAATATATTTTACAAATCATTTGTGTTTGGACAAAGTGACACTGAGTGAGCAAGAGCCTAAATATTCAGTGGAATAAAGTTTCCCCCACTAGTTCTATTCGGGTCTTCAGAGTCTGGCTTATGCTCCTAGATCCAGAACCGAACATTCTGTTCTGCTGCCCAGTACTTGTGGGACACACTTTCTCAAAGACTTTTTTTGTGCGTGATACACTTGAATTGCACTTGCGCTTCATTTATTCCCTCTTTCCAGGATGATGGTTTTTTTTATTCCATTCCAATTGCAATGTTGTTTGTCTTCTGTTCTGTAGTCTATTATTTTACTTTTGCTTTTTCAATTTTTTTTCTTTATTTGTTTGTGTGCGTAGGATGACTTTGCATAATGATGATTGTGATCCTGTTTGGTTTTTGATTTTTGATTTATGTTGTGACATTGTATTCTCTGTTTAATTCCCTACTGGATTTTGTATAAGTGTCAAGGCTAAGTTATTAATTAAGTTTTTTAAAAATGCACACAAAATTTGGAGCTTTGTTCTGTCTTGGTGAGAAGCAGCCAGAGGTATTTTTTAAAAATAATATCTTAAGAGCAATGTTTTCATGCAGTAAAATTAGTGATTTTATGAATTTTGACAAGTTAATTTCAGCATAAGCTATATTTTTAATTAACTATTATTTTTCAAGCTAAGATTTTCAAAGGAGATTTGTGAGTCACTTTTCATTAATGTGCATATAAAAAGTATGAGGAGAGTTGAATTGCTTCTCATGACAAACAAGGAAATTATATTGAACCTTTTACCTGCGCAGCAGGCCTGGCACAAAGAGGACAAATACCGCTTCAGGGTCAGAGGTGAGTAATCATATTTTAGTGATTCTTCTCTCAGGGTAAATACCTTTCAACTACATGGTTAGGCGCACTTTACCTTTAATAGTCTCTCAGTCCAATTACAGAAGGATAAAAGTGGAAAAAGTATGACTCTTCATTGAAGAAATTGGAATCTACTTCATTTAATTTTATATTGTCTGCCCACTTATATTTTTCAAGATTGTTTTTCATACAATCTAAAACCAGAAACTGGGATATAGGTGCAAACGAAACTGTTCCTTCTGGGTCCCAAACCAGCAGAGGGCCCCCAAGAGCTTTCACGTTTCCAAAAGGAATGAAACTTTCTCAACTTCAAATGAGTGGTTTATGAAAAATTGAAATATTGTTAAATATGCTTCTGTCGATGAACAGTTAAGAAGAAATAGAAATCATATAGAATTTAATCGAACTAATGGATATGCTAGTTTTAATAATAAATAATGAAATACAACTTGACAGTTATTTTAACAGTCACAATTTAGTGTCACTAATCATTTCTGCTGATCAGCAATCAGCAGAAATGATTATACCTATAAAAACTCGCTGTACGTGCAACCATTTAAACTGTCCCTTCCTTATGGAGTTTTCTGCTATGGGGGTTGAACTTTTTCAAAAAGTGGCCAGATTGAGTCCAATAATATTATTGAGAGAGAGAACCCAAACCAACAGAATTTCAAAGGATTTATTTAGCTGGCAGAACTTGAACACTTGATCATATATCACATCTGATTTATTTTGACCAAACACTGGATCTGTAATTCCTTAACAACAGTAATGGGGATGAGTGCTGTTCAAAAATTCATTAATAACAACAGTGCCTGTTTTTAAGTGGTTTCATTGTTGTGTAATATTTATTTCTTGGCATCGGCTGTACATTTTTATCCTGATTAATTCAAAAGAGTAATTTTAAATAAGTTCAGGACTGTTCATTTTTTGAAGTTATGTGACATAATCATTTTCATAAATTTGGTAATTGTGATTAAAATAATTTTTTTTACATGTTCAATTGAAGCTTAACCGTGACTTTAAAACATTAAATATCTTTCATTTAGTTCATACTGTCCACCTTCTGCTTTCCATCAAGTCACAACTTGACTGCAAAGACCCAGCTGTTCCTTCAACAGGAAACGTTTTATCTTCCCCATTGGTACGTCCAGCCTGTTCAGGGGCCAATCACGTCGGGGCTTCGCCGCACTCAGCGTCCGTGTGGACAACTGTGGAGCTGAGCTTGCGTGGAAATCCCACGCAGAAGTGTAAAAGGCGACGCGCTTTGGAGACAGGTGCGTTTGCCTTGCTGGGAGTCTTTACACTGCAGAGAATCCCCACCACACACACACACATACACACACACACTTTTTAAGGAATTCGCAGGAAAAATCCACTGAATGTTTCCCGTCTTCCGTCCAAATCCTAAGAATGAAGGGAGCGACAAAATCGCGAGAGCTTGAGTCACTTCTGTTCAGTTTTGCCAACTTTGTGCAGCTGACAAACCGTCCGATCCACGTCAGTCCGAGCGGACACGGCAGCAGGAGCAGCAGCAGGAGCAGCAGCAGGAGGCAGAGGAGAGCAGAAGGAGGCTGGATGAAGCAGGAGACGGGCAACTGAGCTTCAGCGAGCCGGGTACCCGCTTCCCCATTCCGCAGCTGTCCCCCAATGACACCGGACAGGATGATGATCATTGGACTTTTGCTCAATGTCTTTTCTCAGGGTAAGGAGCATTTCTCATTTACTTGCATGAGTCCATTGGTTTACACATTCCATTATTTCTTAGTGTCGCATTTTCATTCATGTTTTATATTCAGACCCCTTTACTCTGATATCCCTAAATACATTGCAACCATGACTGCTCGACTTTATTTGTCACAAAAAATCTCAGGAAAATACTTTGGAGTTTCTGGTCTGTTGCGCAGGAAATCCCATAGGGCATGACTACTTTTTCAATCTATTTAGTAATTAGAAATACAACATCAGGATAATAAGCTTACATGATATTCGTAGTTAAGATTTTGTGCAATATTGTGAGCAACTTATTTTAGAGAACATCAGTAAGCTTAGCAGCTCTATATTTCTAAAATTTTAAATATAAAATAGCAAAAAAAAAAAATAGATCTTTGAGTAAGAAGTACATTATTACTCTGAAATTTTGCTAGAAGGATTTTGTATTTGAGGTGCAAAAATTTGCTTGTGTACATAAATGTTGGATAGTTGTTAAAATACAAGAACAAAGGGAAAAGTGTGAGAGACAGAGTGACTTTTTCAGAGACAGAGATGTTTTTCAAACCAACAGACTCACATATCTGAATGCAGCAAAATAATTCACTCTCGGTTCAAGGTAAGCTACTGAGACATAAAGTCAAAGAGGTTTATTAAATCATAGAGCAGGGAAAGTGTTTTCCATGTGGATGACATCATTGGGTCAGGTCTGTTATCTTTGCCTTGGACCAGATCCAGATAAAGGCTCTTCAAAGTATTGACTGGACTGTCCCAGGCTGCTGCAAATATCACACATGAATTTTTAAACACTAAAACAGTACCTGGCACTAAACCAGAGCTCTAGTAAGATTTAAATTAAGCAATGATTGAAATCTTTAGATGAGCACGACAGGTTTGGAGAATCCATTTGTGTTAGCTGATGGTCAGGTGGAAACAAAGCCGTACAGAACAGCTCACACTTCACGGCTTTGGATCCTTCGTCATGCTAACGTTAACTTTCAGTTTTCTCTAAATAAGTTAAGACCGAAGCAAAAAAAAAAAAAAGCGATCCAAGCTAGACTGGTAAAGAAAAGAAAAGTAAAAAAACTTGTTGGTCTTTGGTCTTTTATACAAAAACATATCAATCTAATCAGTGCTGTTGTTTGAATTTCATGTTCTCTCCTGTTTGCATGCACCACATTGATTGACTTTTATTTAGAGCACCTCTCTCCTTGTCAGTGGGTTCATCATCGCTGAGATGCATGCAAACATTATAATTGTTTAGATTTTGACTAGATAAGAGGAGACGGGGGCTCCACATGTCCGGCTGCATCCTGATAATGTTGGTTGTGGGTGCCCATTAGAGATTAGGATCGCTGAAAATGATAAATGCTTTTCTTGTTAATGTCAAGCCGCTCATGCATTCTGTGTATCACACAGAGCACTTGGCTTAGGTGGAATCACACCAAGCAAAAACATTAATTTTCAAGTGCCAATTAATTGAGATCTGACTCATTACACATGCAAATGAGATACTCTGTCATGATGTCAGTTCTGCCTATTATACCTGATTGGAAATCAAAAAATATTTGACTCAAAGTTTCTCATTAACATCACTGAGAACTGTGGATTGTGCAGAATGGAAGCTTAAATCTGCATCTGTTTGTATTTAATTATCATTGGTTGTTTATGCTATTCTGGTGGGAATTTCAGTATAAGACTGCAGCCTCCCCAGCTTGTCTGTCATCAAGACCAAAATGAAGAAGATGAACTAACACAACATCTGCTTGTTGGTACATCGTGTCTGCTTTAGGGAAAACCTTAACAGATGATTTTGCATGTCTTTAAAAGACATAATTTAATATTTAAAGTAACCTTTTTATGTTTCTGCCGCCTGTGGGGTTTTATGTGATAGGCCAACACAAAGTGGTGGTGATTAATTGTTTTCAGATAATTTTGAAGTAAAAAGCTGTAATGTATGAGATGCATTTTTATTCAAATACACCAATGCTTTGTATAGTAATCTTTTTCTGCAGTTCTGGTTCTGTCTGCAGACTGAAAATTTGTATGCCAAAAATGTCTCATGCATTGCCAGTTTTGATGGAGGGGATGTGTAAACATCAATTTTCAAGCCTTACCACAGATTCTCAAGCAGGTTTAGGTCTGAATTTTGATTGACTGTTATCTAAACCATTTCATTTTTAGCTCCAGCTGTATGTTCATGCAAAAAGAGCATTTTTTTTAGAGTTTCAACAACTGCTTTCTTCTTACCTATCTTCCATTAAATTCTTAATTGCTTTCCTGTCAACCTATCGATACAGAGTTTGCCCATCTGTGTGAATTTCTGCAGCTCCTCCAAAGTTACCATCGGCCTTTTTGGCTGCAGCTGTGAATAATATCAGTTTTGATAGAAATCCATGTCTTTGTACATTGATTCCCAACCCGCAGGGACCACTGATGCTTCCCCCCTGATGCTTTTTGTAATCTAATGTCCTGCATGTTTTATACAAATCTCTGTTTCAGCACACTTGATACTAATGATTCATGGCGTAAAGTGCTGCAGAAGTTTGTTAAATACCCAGTTATTTAAGTCAGGTGTGAGGCAGCCTAAAACATGCGGGACAGCATGTGTAATTGGGAGCCACTATCTTAATCAATCTTCATTTGCAGATGATAGATTGAACAGTGCTACATGAGGTGTTTAAATCAATTTTTTTTCTAACCCTGCTTCAATCTCATCCACAACTTCATTCCTGACCTGCTGTTTTCATTTCTCTTCCTGATGCTTTTTGGAATCTAATATTCTCTAAAAAACCTTCATCGTACAGCTGGATTAATACTGAGATTAATTTATACACAAATTAACTTTTTTTTTTTTTACTAATTAGGTGCCATCTGAAGGCAATATGTTGTTCGTAGTTTTATTTGGAAGTGTTGGAGTAAATCTGGCTAAATTCCAAAAGGATGCCACACTTTAGACTTTTGAGAAAGATTTTTAAAACCATGCATCCTCCTTCTTGCACTTCACAGCTTTACAGTAATGCATTGTGCTGGTTTCTCGCATAAAATTCGAAGAAATACCTCATCGTTTGTGGTTTAATATAACTGGAACAATATTCAATAGCTATGAATAATTTTGCAGCATGTCGTATTTAGTGTGTCACAATACAGAAATTCCTTCCCGGTTATCATTTTCCAGCTTAATGCACATGACTTCATTCATACCTTTCCCTGAATTTACCTTGCAGAAATCTTAGAAACAAATGGCCTGACACTAAAAGACCTGCCAGTATTTGTGCCGCGTCTGAAAACTATTGTTAAATGACATTTAACCCGACTTTGACCTGTTACTGCCAGGCCCCCTTTGGATTATTACAAAAATCCCAGGCAGTGCAGGCTGCAACTGTTGACTGACTGCTGCTATTTTTGCACCTCACTGACTAGACCCGATTGAGCCGCACCAACGTTTGTCACAGCTTCAGTACGGTTCGTTTTCATTTCACATAAAGTGAAAGATATTGATGAGCATTTTCAGTTTGACTTTTTGAGTTTTTCTACTTCTAGTTTTCTCTCCTTGTTGTCGTGCCGTCTTTTTGTCTCTCTTCATTGTCCGTCTGCACTCTGTTTTTGTAAGTCTGTTTTGTTCACAACAGCAAGATACAAAAAATGTTGAACATCACACGGGTAAAATAAAACATAAAATAAACTTTTTTTTGCATAAGCAGTAATTTACAGATTAGGCTTTAAGGTAATTAAACTATTGAAAGATAACTGTCATCATAATTTCACCTTTTATAAATGTGATTTCTCACCACCAGCCTCTTAAAAAATGTGTTATATTGATTGTTTTTTTTTCTATCACCTGACTGCCATTGCCAGTTACTCAGTTTTTTTTTGTGTTAATCTGCATCTTGACTGTCACTCACAGGCAACTGCACAGACAAAACCGTTCTGATCAATGGGCATTATGTGTATGTGGCCAAGAAATTATGTACACATTGAAATTTAGGAACACAGTAAACAGCAGAAGGCAGAAGCCTGGAAGATTCACTGCAATTGGCTGATGATGCACCTGATGCATTTAACCTGAACTACCATGGAGGCATCCAGGGTGTGTGGGGTGTTGTGGTTAATGCATGCATAATGTGGCTCCACAATCCGACTGCCATGCCTCATTAGACGAGGCATTAGCCATGTAGTAGGCGCACTATTTCAGAACATAAAATTAGTGTGAACTCAACAGCACCTCTGGCTCTCGTGTGTTTTACAACTTTTTATTTTTTCAGACACCATTTTACCATCCGTCACAGCTTGACTGGGTTCGGTTCTGGCTTCAGCTTTTTGGAGATACACAATACCTGCACACAAACCCTTGCAATTTTTTATATTTCATCTACACAATGAAACTTAGAAAAAGAGGCTCAACTGGACCACATTCCTGGATTTTCTGCCCCACAGATTCCAGGTCCTGTTTGCATTTCATCAAGTCTAATTGAGGATTCTGCTTATCAAAGCATAGCAGCAAGGCATATTTAGTCAATTCTAGGCTTGGAGTTTGTAAAGGTTTGCCAAATGTTCATGCTGCCATCACTGCAGTCTCTTGTGACCACAGAGTGTGAAGAGCTTCAGTCAGTTCAGCAGGGATTATGAAGGGACAGACGTAGAAGTTGGAATAATAGTAACTGTATTCTTACTCATATTTATTGGAAAGTTCAACACCTCATGCATTTCCTTCTATATTTAGTAGAGGTTTTCCAATTTGCCAGCCAGCTGACAAAGAAACCAACATTTGGGAATAAACAATTTTAGTTTCACTTGAGCTGATTCCGAGGAAAACATAGCAAGTAGTGTCACTTATTGGCATGTTTCTGCATTTAGCTCATTGTCGTGTCTCGCTGCTATTTCCTCATAGTGTGTGTGACTTCCTGTCGACAAGTCCCTTCTGTCACAGTTCCCGACCAAATTTCAGACTCACACTTCCCCTCTAGGCATTCTTTCTTGCCTAATCAAGTTACT